GCAGATTTCTTTGGGGGAACTTGGAGGAGCGTAAAAAATTCCATCTGGTTGCCTAGGAAGAGGTCAAGCAACCACTCGATTTGGGTGTTTTAGGTATTCGATCCATAATAGAAATGAATAAGGCTCTACCAGAGAAATGGCTTTGGCGATTCCTGTTGGAGTAAGAGGCTTTATGGAGAAGAGTGGTAGCACTCAAGTACAGCATGGATGAAAATGGATGGTTTACAAGGCTAAACTCCAGGCCACATGAGAGAGGTTAATGGAAGAACATCAATAAAGGCATAACTCATTTTCAGAGGAACATTAGTTGGAAGGTAGGAATGGAAGACAGAATCTGATTTTGGGAGGATCCGTGGTTGGAGGGAGCTCCTATATGCATGCAATATCCGCAAATTTATGCAATCACTCAACAGAAGAAGATCAAGATATGTGAGGCCTTTTGTGATGGGTGTTGGAGGAGTGAGAGAGTGGCAAATTGTAGTTCAAAGACTGTTGAATGACTGGGAAGTTGGGGAATATGAGAGACTACTAGCTATGCTTTCCCAATTTACTCTTCGTGATAGTAGTGACTTCCTTGTGTGGAGCCAAACAAAGAAGGGTGTGTTTGTTGTTAAATCCTTCTACAAGCAGCTTTCTAATCATGATGGCTCTAGTTGTAATATTCCATATAGGCAAATCTTGATAACAAAGGTTCCACCTCGCATTTTGTTTTTTTTTGCATGGGAAGCTAGTAGGGGTTGTATTCTTACTATTGACAAACTCCAAAGAAGAGGAAAAATTCTGATGAATGCTTGCTACCTATGCAAGCAAGCGGAGGAAAATTGTAATCATCTGCTTCTATGGTGTCTGGTGGTTTATAAACTTTGGACCATGGTCTACAGCATGCTTTGTATTAGTTGGGTCCTGTTGGCTCAGTGAGAGATGAAATTTGGGCTTGCAAGGACTAGAGGTGCAAGAGGAATCAAGCGGAAGTTATTTCACTTAACAGCTTTCTAATCATGATGGCTCTAGTTGTAATATTCCATATAGGCAAATCTTGATAACAAAGGTTCCAACTCGCATTTTGTTTTTTTTTTGCATGGAAAGCTAGTAGGGGTTGTATTCTTACTATTGACAAACTCCAAAGAAGAGGAAAAATTCTGATGAATGCTTGCTACCTATGCAAGCAAGCGGAGGAAAATTGTAATCATTTGCTTCTATGGTGTCTGGTGGTTTATAAACTTTGGACCATGGTCTACAGCATGTTTTGTATTAGTTGGGTCCTGTTGGCTCAGTGAGAGATGAAATTTGGGCTTGCAAGGGCTAGGGGTGCAAGAGGAATCAAGGGGAAGTTATTTCACTTAACAGCTTTCTAATCATGATGGCTCTAGTTGTAATATTCCATATAGGCAAATCTTGATAACAAAGGTTCCACCTCGCATTTTGTTTTTTTTTGCATGGGAAGCTAGTAGGGGTTGTATTCTTACTATTGACAAACTCCAAAGAAGAGGAAAAATTCTGATGACTGCTTGCTACCTATGCAAGCAGGCGGAGGAAAATTGTAATCATCTGCTTCTACGGTGTCTAGTGGTTTATAAACTTTGGACCATGGTCTACAGCATGCTTTTTATTAGTTGGGTCTTGTTGGCTCAGTGAGAGATGAAATTTGGGCTTGCAAGGGCTAGGGGTGCAAGAGGAATCAAGCGGAAGTTATTTCACTTAACAGCTTTCTAATCATGATGGCTCTAGTTGTAATATTCCATATAGGCAAATCTTGATAACAAAGGTTCCACCTCGCATTTTGTTTTTTTTGCATGGGAAGCTAGTAGGGGTTGTATTCTTACTATTGACAAACTCCAAAGAAGAGGAAAAATTCTGATGAATGCTTGCTACCTATGCAAGCAGGCGGAGGAAAATTGTAATCATCTGCTTCTATGGTGTCTGGTGGTTTATAAACTTTGGACCATGGCCTACAGCATGCTTTGTATTAGTTGGGTCTTGTTGGCTCAGTGAGAGATGAAATTTGGGCTTGCAAGGGCTAGGGGTGCAAGAGGAATCAAGCGGAAGTTATTTCACTTAATAGCTTTCTAATCATGATGGCTCTAGTTGTAATATTCCATATAGGCAAATCTTGATAACAAAGGTTCCACCTCGCATTTTGTTTTTTTTGCATGGGAAGCTAGTAGGGGTTGTATTCTTACTATTGACAAACTCCAAAGAAGAGGAAAAATTCTGATGAATGCTTGCTACCTATGCAAGCAGGCGGAGGAAAATTGTAATCATCTGCTTGTATGGTGTCTGGTGGTTTAAAAACTTTGGACCATGGTCTATAGCATGCTTTGTATTAGTTGGGTCCTGTTGGCTCAGTGAGAGATGAAATTTGGGCTTGCAAGGGCTAGGGGTGCAAGAGGAATCAAGCGGAAGTTATTTCACTTAACATTTTCTGGGTTAGGTGGAAGAAGAGGAACAAAAGGGTTTATTAGGGGGTAGATGATGTTGATTGCTATGATTTACTTATTAATAGATGGTTGCAAACCTTTGATTTTTTGTTAGCGGGTCACTCTATTAATTCATCTTTAGAGCCAGGGAACCTTTTAATAATCTAATTGATTTGTAAATAATTTTATACATAGGTGGCACCCCCTTGGTGCCATTAATACATTTACTTCCTTTTTATTTAAAAATAAAAAAACTAAATCATTAAAACTATCATAATACTTTTTTTAACTAAAAAGTACAGTATGATTCATAAATTCACAAGCACCAAGGGAGTGCCAACTCGTGTGCAAAAAAAAATGGTATGATTCACAAATTCAGAAGCACCAAGGGGTGCCAACCCATATATAAAAATATTTACTAAAATTATATTAATACTTCTCAATAATGTAAACTCTTAAATAGTATAGTAGTTTTACATTAAATATAATTATAATTTCTAAACTATTCACGAAATCTAATACTAGCTCATTCTGCATCATTCTCTCCTAATTGAAGAAAACTCGTTCACGAGTTTTAAAGTAGCAAATGATATGAAACCTTGACCTTCGAGCTTCCTCATGAAAACTTTGCAATTTTTGTGTTTGCTTGTTCTAGCCAATACCTAAAATAATACAAAAATAAAATTTTTTAGGAGTGTTAATTCTTTTTATTTAAAGAAAATAGTAGTTTAGAACTTGGCGGGAGGATGAGATTAACATGTTGATCAATTGGTATGTCAAATTCTTTGTGGCATGGAACTTTCACAAAGTTGACTCTTAAGAAAAGATTATGACTTTAGGAGTTCTGAAATTTGATGTTGACCCATTCTTCAACTCATCTTTTGATTCAAATGTATCTTTAGGAGTGGATTCCACGATGTTCCTTCGAATTGAATATTTTCAATGCTCTTCCACATCAAGGGCCACTTGCCAAGTTTGCGGTATAGTTGCAAGAGGTTATTGAATTAACTCACTTTTAAGATCAACTCTTAGTCATTTCTTGAATCGAGATGTTGTTTGACTATTATCTTTGACTAGTTGATTTTAAATCTTTAATTCTTCAAACTTCTATGTATACTCAGTTACTGACATGTTACCCTGGACTAAAGTGTAAACTCGATCGTCGAGTTCGTCAAAGTAGTTGGGAGGTAGATGCTTTAACGAAGATTAGTTTTCTTCTCATTCAATATTTCAATTGTTGTTTATCTCCTTCTTATTATATTTTCATCAATAGTGTAACACCATAATTTTGCAAGTCTAACCAACTTCATTGTGTCAAATCAAACCATTCGCGAATCTGACATGTCATACCAGCTGAAGTACTCTTCCAAGAAATTAAGCCAATTAAGATAGAAATTGGGATCTCTTATTCCATCAAAATTAGGAGCTTCAACCTTTACCCTCTTGGTAAAATCTCCAGCATTATCTTCAATTTGTCGTCTACTGGCTCTTATACCAAATTGATTTAGGATAAATAGAATGGATTTGTCCAATTAGTGATTCAAGGTAAAAGACATAAAAACATCATACTTAGAGTTTCTTATATATAATATCTAAGAAGTTTTAAGCATCACGCTTAAGGTTCTGATTGCATTTCACAACCAGAAAACTAAAAAACTCTCAAAAAATTATTGAATAATTAAATGCTCCGACGAGTGAAATTATAAGCTATTTATACTAACCTTAATGCAACATGTCCTAAATATAATTAAAATAAAAAATAGTAAAATAGTAGAATTAGGAATACCAATCCTAGTAAACTAAGAAACTAATATTAACAATATTAGGAATATTAATCCTAATACAAGTAGGAAAATACTAATAAGAATAAAAATCTAAGTTACTAAAACAATAATCATACTCCTCAATAATATAAATTCATGAATAGTCTAGTAGTTTTATACTTAAGATAATTACAATTTATAAAATACTTAAGAAAGCTTATACTAGCCCATTCTACATCAATAACCTAGTTGATCCATTTTGTATCTACAAACCAAGACTACTAAGAAAAGTTTTCCTTGAATTCATAATATAAGAGCATCCAAGAACTTTCAGTTCAAATGAAATAAGGATGACATAAACAAGCAACCGAACTATTTAATCAACTGCATTTCAATCCATCATCCAAAAACTATAATTTTGGATACCATGCACAAATTTTTTTAACCTCAATAATGAATATTATGTCAGTCCGCCCACATATATTCTTCCTGTTTGCACTTGTTAGTTATACTAACTTGAAAAGCTTATTTTGGAGAATTAGAACCCTAGGCATATATTTTGTAGCATCTATAGGAACTCTACATCTACTTCAAATAGCAACATCTGGAAACCAAGTTTACATTTGAAAGTTAGAAGTAGCACACAAAGCAAAACCTAATTATAAATGATACCAAGAAGGTATCACTTAGGATGTAGTACTTAAGAACAAGCAAGAACTAGGGTGGGAGGAAGATTTCTATCAAATTAGCTTTAGTACTGGGAAATAATGCTTACCTTCCTCAACAGAGAGTTCAGCTCCTGCGGATGCGACTTGGCAATATCCCCAATCTGCCGTGCGGCAGTAAACCGTGTCGTTTGTGTTGAACCAGCTTTGGGAAAATTCGTTAAGAAAATATATAAGAAAAACAAATAAACAACCATGCACCAAAATATGCACATTGTGAACATTAATGTTATTAGATATATCAAGAACTATGCAACCACGTATCCGATCCATAAACGAAAATTTAGAGGATACTGTCCAACAAAGTTAGTAGCCGATTGAGGCGCGACGATTGCTGTGCCATAATTGCAGCAAAGGCGGCGAAAATGAAACGAAAAAATGTCTTTCAAAACCAATTCTTCATCTCCTACCGTCCAATCACTTTGAGAAGTAACAATCGCAACTCTGCAACCGCAAAAGAAGCAAAGCATAACCAGAGACGAAAGACCAAAGCAACCGAAATAGCAATTAGTAAAGATAAATCTCTTGTTCGTTTTCTGAAACGTTCAGACGCAATGTGTTTGTCGAATCAGAGGTGGACGAAAACTGAGAACATTTCTTCTACTCTCCAGTTTTGGATTTTGAATTTCGTAGAATTCAAGAGGAAACAGTAACACAAAAGAAATGGTACGTTAGGGTTTTACCTGGCAAAGAGTATACAACGGCGGTGATGTCTTGGGGCATCGAATGGGGATTATATATATGTGTGTGTGTATATATATATATATGCTTGTGTCTTCTTCGTCTTCCTTGCTTCGATGATAAACGAAATTTTTGAAGGGTTTCTTTTCTCGTACCTGATAATAATTTTATAATCAAACAAATTAAAACATTTTTTTATTTAACACTGGAAAAAGTATAAGTTTGCGTTTATCTACTCAAATTTTCTGTAATTTTATTTGGACCCCAATTTTTATTCGGTATTTAATTATACTAAATTACATTTTTGTATATTACACAAACTTTTTATTTTTAAATCTAATATATATATATATATATATATTTAAAAAATTAAGCAATTTACCATTTATCATTTATTTCTTTTTCTAAAAATGAATTTCTAAATTTCATTTAAATTCTACATAAAATTTCATACCAAGTCAAATTTTTTTATTTTTTGATATAATTTATATTATTTATAGTTAAAATAACTATAAATTTATAAATAAATTTTACTAAATTTCTCTATTTATTTTAAACATAATCTTAGAGATAATTTTTTTAGCAATAAACACGTATAACACATATTTTTAATAATAATGATTGATTGTTTATTTTTATTTTATATATTTAAGAATTATGTAGCTTATTTTGAATAGGTGAATACCTACCTTAAAGGTAATATACCAAATCAATTACATATTAACAGACATTAAGGACTTATACTTGTAAATAGGTGAATATCCACAATTTATATAAGTGATTTTTTACCTCCCAAAAAGTTATTATTTCCACATAATTCATTTTTAATTTTTTATTATAACTTTTTTTAAAAAATTTTATTTACTTGAATTCTAGAATGATTTTCTAAATAAAATAAGTGACAATTGATCCTATGTGTAAGTTACTTAGAGCTTGAAGTAAAAGTTCTCTTTATCATCTAATAGAGTAACCTTTTTTATTATCTAATAATCATCATGTGTAAATCAACATTATCATTAGTACCTTTTACGAGAATGAGTGAACTAGCTTGTTATATGAAGAGACACATGGAACGCACCTAAAACATTAAAAAGAGTAAAACTTCATATTAGGAATTATGAAAAATCATTATCATCGGTTGATAGTACATTAAAGAGAGTATGATCAATTAGTTGATGTGTTTGAGTAAAGAAAATTAATCATAGTTTTTACAGAGTGTTAACTCTTTAAGTTTAGGAAACTAATGTAACCTTTTATGGACAAGTCAAAGTTTGATCTTGAGAAAAGATTAAACAACATTTATGTCAAAATCTAAGAATATGACCTAAAATATATTCTTAAAAGTAAGTAACTAATGAACTAAGAAGAACTCTCAATCAAAGAAGTTTATGATCAAAGGACCATTAGGAAATTTTTCCATGAGCATTAGAAAATAATAAGAAAGGCCAAAAGGAGTCTCAGTGATACTAAAGGGTTCATTAAGGATGATGTCATCACAAGATTAAGGACTCATCTAAAGAAACTAAAACAAGGCTCCTCAAGTAAGATCATTATGATTTTTAGTATCATGACGAGTCTTTTATCTTTATATATTTAGTAGAGGAACATGTATTATCCAAGTTCAAATTATTATAGTTGGATCATTATGATATGATATAAGACCTCATGGATCACCTAAAATGACTAGCAAAGGATTCCCCCTATCCTTAAAATTAATAATAGGGAATGATTGTAGGCCCTCAAGTCAATCATGATGTATAAGTTAAAGTAGCTAACCTAATGCCCTTCACTAGTAGCAGAAGGTTAAAAAAGTAATGAGAGTGTAGTAACTAAAAAAAAACGTCGTTTTGAGATGGATGGGTAGGAAGAGAGGAAAGAAAAGAAAAGAGAAAAGAGGAAAAGAAAGAAAAGAGAGGAAAGAAAAGAAAAGAGAAAAGAGGAAAGAAAAAAGGGAGCAAAGGAAAGAAAAGCGAGAAGAGAAATCGAGGGAAAGAGAAGGTTCGAGAGAGAGAGAGAAGAGCTGGAGCGGAGAGGAGCGAGAAGAGAGAGAGAAGGAGAAAAAGGAAGGTGACGGAGCAAGCCAAGGGAATGAGGAAAAAAAAGACAGGAGGTACGGTAAAATTTTGAGTTCTTGTATAGGAGTGGAGTGATTTCGAATATGTGATCTTAAGTTGAGAAATCTAGGTCCCGTTTAGTATGTAGAGCAATAGACTACGAGGTAGAGACAAGCGGTTGTGGATGGCAGGTGGAATCGTGAAGGTGCTCATGGAGGAGGCCGCGGGAAGAGAGAGAATGAAGACGTTGGAGAATGGGAGATATCCGTGAGAGAGTGTGGTTATTTTATGTAACATAAGTGTGAGTACATGGTAAAGGCCGCAGGAGGAGAGAGTGAACGAGGAGGTCGATGAGTGGGTGAGATTCGTGAGGGCGAGGTGAGGTTGTGTGTGTGCGAGCGGGGTACACGGATGAGGCCGTAGGAGAAAAGAGAAGGAAGAAGGAAGTTGGTGAGTGTTCTGTGAGAGAGATGAGAGTTGTGATTGTGAGTGTGTGATTGGAGAGTGGGAGAGATCCATGAGAGAGTGTGGTTATTTTATGTAACATGAGTGTGAGTACATGGTGAAAGTCGCGAGAGAAGAGAGTGAACGAGGAGGTCAGTGAGTGAGTGAGTGAGATCTGTGAGGACGAGGCGACGTTGTGTGTGTGCGAGCGGGGTGCACGGAGGAGGCCGCGAGAGGAGAGAGAAGGAAGAAGGAAGTTGGTGAGTGTTCTGTGAGAGAGATGAGAGTTGTGATTGTGAGTGTGTGAGTTATGATATTTTGAATAGGCCGTGGGAGGTAGAAGAATAAGGAAAGTGGTGTGTGAGTTCTGTGAGAGAGAGAGGAGAGTTCATGATTTTGCAGGGGGTCCTTAGAGTGCACTATGGAAGGAAGGAAAAGGATGAGTTCGGTGTGTGGGAAGAGATTCGGGTAAAAGGAGAAGTGTGGTATGACCGTAGGGAGAGGTAGATATAGAAGGAGAGGATAGTGTATATGATGGAAATTTGGGAAAGGAAAATAGAGGCCAATAAGGCGTGTTTTAAGGTATTGGGATAGGGGCGTGTTGGTAGTTGTGTGGTGTGAAGGTGTGGGTTATATATAGGTTGGTATAGCTGCTGTAAATGTAATGGTTGGTGATGGAACATTACCGGCGTGTGTGTGAAATGTTAGTGTGTGTTCTAGGAGGAGATGTGTGTTGGGTTGGTATACCGAGTAAAGGAATAGGAGAGCCTCATGATAACATGGTGGAGCGAGTACGGGATGGTAGAGTCCTTGAGTTGGTAACATTGGGGACGTCGATATTGGTGGTCGCTACCTAGAAAAAATAAGTTGATCGCTGATGAAGGTGATGGTGGGGAGACTCCGACGGGAAGGGGTTTGGTCGCCGATATTAGTGACGGAAAAGAATGGTATTTGGGTGTGTGCGCGGCATATTAGGGGTCGAGGGATAAACGGTTTATTGATGGTCGCCGATACTGGTAACGGGTGAGAATGGAATCTGTGTGTGTGTGTGGCCTATTAGGAGTCAAGAGATAGGCGGTTTATTGGTAAGTGCCGATACTGGTGACGGATGAGAATGTTATCTGTGTGTGTATGTGGCCTATTAGGGGTCGAAGGATAGGCGGTTTATTGGTGGTCGCCGATACTGGTGACGGGTGAGAATGGAATATGTGTGTGTGTGTGTGGCCTATTAGGGGTCGAAAGATAGGCAGTTTATTGGTGAGCGTCGATACTGGTGACGGGTGAGAATGGTATCTGTGTGTGTGTGTGGCCTATTAGGGGGCGGAAGATAGGCGGTTTATTGGTGATCCTGGTGACGGGAGAGAGTATTTGTACGGTTATGGGACGTCGAGGGGCAGTCACAATTAACATGCATAATTTTTTAAATTACGAATGGTAGGTATTAAGTTGAGTAGGTAGAGTACATATAGGACCCCTGAGTTCCCTATTGTTGTATATGATACTTGTAACATAATTTTTATTATACTGAGTTGTATATACTCATTCTTTATTATTTACAGATGAAGTAGGGATAGAGTCGTGATCGGAATTGCTAATTTTCGAGTCTAGCAGATAGAGGAACAGGGCAATAATATTTTCGTTATTTGACATGATTGAATGTGTAATAACTAGTAGTATGGTAGATAGTGTGTCTACTGGGAGTCTATGAGATTATTATTCACTGTGATATTACATGTAGGGTTGCAGGTTTACTATAACTTTGAATAATAGATTGCGGTAAGGTTTCTATGTTTGTGGTGGATTTGGAATAACGCGTTCATATGTGGCCGTGGAATTGTCTTAACTTACGCCATTAAGAAAAAAAAAAATGGGTCGTTACAGAGAGCCTCCTAAGAATACATTAACGGAAAGAAGATTTCTTACATAAGTGCTTCACGAAATTTAATATATAGACATCCATGGTGGACAAGCTAGAAAAAGAACTGGCAATTGCAACAACCATAAGTAGATTTAAAGACCAAAAACTTTATTTATGTTTACTTATATATACAGATAAGGCCTAAGGGTAACTTGGACAATATAATATAAAATCCTTAGCTACAAGTTTGAAAAATTAATTAATAGAATTTATTGCAAAAACCAGAACACCTTATATGATAGATCTAATAATCCTTCTTTCAATGGAGTCTAAAAGCTTTACTGGGGTGATTAGTTTTTTTTTATAAAATTTATGTCTAAATTATTTTTATTTTAAACCTAGAAACTAGAGAAAGAATAGAGAATAAAAGAGAGAATTTTTTAGAGTTTTATTTAGTGAACTTTTAAGTTTTGTAGAATGTTAGAGATGGCTCTACCAAAATTTGGAATCTGGCAAATTATCAATTTGTTCCCTATCAATATGAATAAAAAAATGTTATTAACTTTGAATTCTAAGAACAAAAAGATATTATTGACTTTAAAGTTTATAAAAAGCCATTTAATCACATGATTTGTATTGAGGATGGAAAACATGAAGTGACAGCATGAGAATTCATGTGTTTGAGGTTTCAATGTCAATTAATTCATTCATTAACAATAACTAGCGAGATACAGTAGCAACGTTTAGATATGTCAAGTATGCAATGACTAACAGTAAGGTAGTGCGCCAACTACATAATGCACTTCCCTGGAATGTGGATGTCATAGCAAGGATACTTCATTTAAGTGCTTTAGACCTTTCTCACCTTAATATCAAATATTTATAAGGTGACCCCTATTAGGTATTCTATCATGTGTATGTATATGACTTTGTCATTAGGTTTTAATTCTTTAGATTGAGGACTTATCTAATGACATGGCTTCTGATACTTCATCATAAAAAATTTGTCATTAAAATGATGTATTTACTAGTTTTTTAAACATTTTAAATTGTGTAATAAGTCAATTACATAAGATATGTAAAAATATTATTATAATAATTTTTTTTCAAAAATATTATAATAATATATTTTATTAGTAAAAATGAATTATTCTATTCTATCATTTTATTGTAAAATAATAACAAGTATCTGTTTAATTGTTAGGAATATATAAAATCATAATAATGGGATTTAAATACAATTTATAAAGTTTTATAATCAAATAATTAATATTTGGGAGAGAAACTTTTCTTTTTATTTTCCAAGTCATGGTCAAACCCTCACTCCCACAAAATTTTTGTTTTGTTTTCTTTTACGGATAAAGTTTAAAATAAAATATTTTTCATACCGTATATACAATCCTTATATTGCAAAGCTAATTTCAAAAACACATTTTGTGAAGTTTTTGAGTGAAAATTTTTAACTTCGTTTCGTTATCGATCTATAAATTATATTTGACTTAGACAAGCTACCTGTAAAAAAACTTGCATTCTATTTGATTATTGTGGTTTTATTAAAATTTTTTATTATTTTAAGTAATGTAAATCTTAATCTCTGTAATTTTTAGATAATTATTTATTAAACTAATGTGACGTTAAAAAAGATTCTAAAAACATATATTCTTTATATATATAATAAGACAAAAGTACTGATAAAATAAATATATTTTTATAAATAAGTAATTTAGTGTTTGAAAACTAAAACAAAGAAAAATATAGCTTATAGTCATATTCAAATAAGTAAGATGTTAACTAATCACATTTTTCGTCTTATCTCTGGTAGGTAAAATAAAAACATACATTTAGTATTTAGATATGTAAACATCAATGAATCTGAAACAATATGCAGAGAACAAGTGTTATATATATTCATACACATACGCAAATATCCAATTGATTCCTAATTATATTAAGAAACAATTGGAAACAGTGTGTTTCTCCTCCATAAATATATACTTAAACATATATATACATATATATATATATAATGCAAACCCATATTCCAAAAGAGAATATTTGTCATTCATTCCCCAAATAGTAAAATCTATCTATCCCCTCTCCTGTTCTTTTGGCAAACAAAGCAAAGTAGGACCGCAATGTCTCCATTTTTGTGGGATCTTCATTTCCATCTTACCTCCACCATTTTTGTCCATTCAATTTTGCAAAAAACAAAAAACAATGAACAAGAAAAAATCTCGAACACATTTTACATGCAAAACAAAAGGTTTCTATAATTTGACTGTTATCCTATATATCTGCCTTTGCATGCATGAAAGTGATGATATATATGCATATATATGATCATCATCTCATCATTAGTTTCCTTTCTATGTACTAACTACATTGTTTCATTACAGGGATATTAACTTTACTGATGTATTGTTCTAATTCTACATACATTGATGTGTGAGTTCTAATTCTACATATATTGTGTAGCTTAATCTTTCATTACGAAAATAAATTTTCAAAGTATGGGTTCAAACCAATTGCGAGGAAGTGCATCCCAGAAACTTTTTTCCCCAGAAGACCAACAAGCCAAGGTATTTACTTACGATCTGCTCGTTTAATTTAATTTCTATATTTTAACTTATAAACACAAACGTAGAATTTGTAAACTTATAAAATGAATAAATTTTTTAATTTTTGATAAATCTTTCTACATATGAGGAGGCATAACAAGAATATCTCAGATTTTTCAGAAGAAGTCATTTTAGGGTTCTTAATTATTACTTTAGTATCCGCAATTTCATATTACATAACGATCCAGCATTAAAATAATCTGAATTTTTTTCTCAAAATGCATTTGGCAGTAATTTTTCTAATAATATATATCGAGAAAAAGATAATCAAATAGTTAGATTTATTTCCATGCGTAAATCAATGATGAATTGAAATGTTTCAATAAATTAATGATCAGATCAATGAGGTGAAAAAGATTATAGGTGGTATTGCTGATAAGCTACCAGAGTTTTGTTCTGACGAATCCATATCAAGATACCTAAGAGCAAGAAATTGGAATACAAAAAAGGCAGCCAAAATGTTGAAAGAAACTTTGAAGTGGAGGTTGCAATCCAAACCAGAGAAAATTACATGGGTAATTTTTTGTTTTTCATTTTGCTTTCAGCTTTTAATGTCTATTATATATGTGGTGTCTATTATATCTGTAAATAGTTATGTCTATTATATGTGTGTGTGTGTGTGTGTAAAACAGAATCCAAAAGATAATTTTATGTGGAATTTACCTTCTTATGTGTGGTAGGAAGATGTTGTTGATGAAGCTGAGACAGGAAAAGTTTACCGTGCCAATTTCTGTGACAAGAATGGGAGGATTGTGCTTATCATGAGACCAGGTCTCCAGGTACATACATAT